CTACAATATAACAAGTTCTTTTTTTAAACTCAATCTCTTAGTGAATGAGCGTAGTGGGGTGTATATTTTGAATCTTTTACGTTTATTCAACTTTAAACTAGCGAGTGTCCATCTAGGAATATATTAAAATAGCATAATTCAATATCTATTTCAACCCTTATGGCTTCGTTGCAAAGTTACGTTTTCAAATCTCAAAATTTTGTTGCCTGATATCTTTATTTTGTAAGTTAACAAATTGGAATGGCATACTGAGATTAGTAGATAATAAACTTTTGATCCTATTTTCGAATAGAATTGCAAATAGGCGATTTGTTTGCTATCTGGAGGCAAGTACGTGGTCTCGACTGACCAAGACCGATTTCCTGGAAATTGCTGCTAAATCAAAACATTAACTACAACTTTGATTTTTCGGTTAATGTCACTACTATAGATTATGAAGAAGCATATGTCCAAAATAGGTGAGTTGTGACAACAAGCACTTAAAGAGCGAGCTTTATTTGCATAAATGTATTCATATTCTCAATTTGCAAATACACAGTTGTTTGCTCCAGCAGTTTTTTATTTAAAAATAGAAAGAACTTCCTTGTTGCAAAATTTCCATACAGTTTTCTGAAAATCATCATTAGAAATTATATATGACACATCCAAAGTATGGTTTCATTTTACCCTCTTAGCACAGTAATTTAATCAATTCGTCCTCGTACTTCTTGTACGCTATTCTTATGGAATTTTTGTTTAGGGCTTCGCACTATTTACCAACAGATTGGTTGTAAATTACCATTGGAGGGCCATTACATTATCTCACTATATGAGATTATGATATAGCCTTACTAGCATTATATTCAGAGTACAAATGCCGATTCTCTCCAATCGTTGCTGCATTTTCGGGGTATACTATGGTGTAGGCTACAACATACAGTGTACGTGACACACGCACATAACATAGCCTACGAAACAATATTCAGCACTCATGTATTATCAATTTAATATATAGATATGCGTCGTGAATACGTAAAAAACTTGTAAGTTTATGTGAAGATGCTACACGGAAAAATACTGTTTTAGCCCTCTTGCGTGGGGGAGGCCCGGGTTACTGGCGATGTACCAAAAAATAAAAGTACTCAAAGTCAAAGCGTGCTGCACATGAAACGCCTCCTCCATTTTTGTCAGTCTTCAGAATTTTTTTTGGTTTCAACATATTAGAGCCGTTATCTGGGACTAAAGCTGTAACTTTATTTTCAAGAGTACTGCTAAGCAGTTCCACAAATTCATTCTACAATATCGTCTGCAGTGGGCCTTTTATGTACAGGCTTCACACCTAGGATATGACCGTGAAGAACAAAATCTTCTGAACAGAAATGTGCTGTGATGCCAAGAAAAGATTCCAAGTTTATGTTAGACCAGGGGTGGGCAACTTCTCTAGTCGGCGGGCCAGATGTGGGGAAATGAAGTACTCGGCGGGCCGGATGATTACAAAACTTCTTCGGTATCCAATCTTTATTAGATGCTCATGGTGATGCTCTGGAATATTATTCTGTCTATCTTGATACATTCTGGTTTAAACAAAGAAATATTCACAACCTTTTATTTGAATGGATTTGGATTAATCAAGAAAAGCATGCAAAGCGGAAAAAGCACGCATGCTGATTTCCAGGTTTTTGAATCTTGCGAGATTTGACGGAGCGCTTTCACGATGAATCGGAACCGAAAAAGCAAAAAGTGATTACTCAGCGCCAAGACGTCGCCGGGCCATTAATACCGCACTTATCAAACACCAATATGACGGCGGAGGAGAAATTGCGTAATAAACCAACATAACTTTGACCTATTAATCAAGAAAAGCATGCAGAACGGTAAAAGCACGCATGCTGATTTTCAGACTTCTGAATCTTGCGAGATTTGACGGAGCGCTTTCGCGATGAACCGAAAACTATGATTACTCGGCGCCAAGACGTCGCCGGGCCATCCCGCACGTATCCAACAGCAATATGACGGCGGAAGAGAAATTGCGTAATAAACCAACGTAACTTCGTCTTTTTGGCTTCGGTAAAGCGATTGAGACGGTAGAAAAACAACAAAATGAAATTTTCCGCGGACCGGCAAAAAAGCCTCGCGGACCGGCACGGGTCCACGGACCGACGGTTGGGAACCACTGATCTAAAGCATATAGAACTTTTATTGTGTAAATGAGTTCTCAATAGAACATGCCCTCCCCCAATAGTTTTCTGAGATTACATCGAATTTTAGATTACATCGAAGTATTATTTGACAGACCAACTTTTCTAATAGTCAGTCATCTTCAGTGTGAAACTTAATCACTTCAGAAAATAGGGTGGCAGTTGACCTCGATGACCTCATGGTCGTATCGCTCCCTCCTGTCAATACCGAATCAATTTTATTTGTGTTATGTATTTTTTTCGTATTGATGACTGTTTGTTTTTGGTTGACAAAATAATAAATCTGTTTATGTGGATATGGATTATGTTTATGGAATGTTTACAACGCTTTCTGCTTTGACCTTATATTGTTTGTTTAACAAGTGTGCTAACGCAATTGTTTGTTCACTAAGGCAATTGTTTATTTTACCAGCTTGCACTGACAATGCGGTGAGAGTAGATCGGCAACTTTCAGGAATGATGCGTCGGAGCACATTCCAGGGTGTGGTTGGATACAGTCAGCGGGCCGTTCAAAATCTCGTCGCGGGCCGTATGTTGCCCACCCCTGTGTTAGACGGTAAGTCTGTAGTGAGCTATATACAGTTTGCTTTGTCAACTTTGACTTTCAGCTTATCTTTTACATCGTCAAATTTTGAATCTATTTTGCGTGTTATTGTTCGCCGGGATGGTATTACAAAGTTCGGTTGCATTACTGACATTAGCTTTTGAAATGCTCTATCTTCCACATTTGAAATGGGGCGCATGTCTGTGACCATGAATTCTATTAAGCAACGGGAAATTCTCTTCCCCTCTATTTTTTGGAAAAATATGTGGGCTTTAATCTTTATTAATGCGAATTATGTGACGCATGATCATCTTATAAAAGTAATATGGGATTATCATGGCTCCAGCCTCCTCCTTACCAGGGCTTTCGTAATCTTCGCTTATTTTTGTCGGGGGCCCAGCTCTAGCATTCAACTTAGTCTTGTTGTGCAACCGATCACTCAACGTTTTCCTGGACACCCCATATTTCTTTGCCGCACCTTATATCGGCAATTATCCTCTTTTCACCGCATCAAATGCGTTTTTCATTTCCTCGCTGTTCTTCCAATTTACTCTCTTCCCCGCGTATCGAGGTTTTGCCATCCTTGTAAAATAATTTGGCAGTACACAATTTGTCTTTTCGGCCATTATTTGATTCCTTGAAGCTCGTTCCTATTACAGCCACCCCATTTCTTCTGATACAGCACGATTTTCGTCTTATATTTTGATTATACGTAGCGAAAACTCCTTTTACTACAGCGTCAACGAAAAAGAAACGTCCCTGTGGGACCCTAACTCTTGGGCAGACGACTGACTCCCGTCAAATGAAACTAAAAATGAACCTCTAAATATCACGAATATGCTCGTGTTAGTTGGTAGTGGGTAGGCTGAGTTTGCGTGGGTTGCGGTAATGGGGGCCTTGACGTTAACATTCATGATTCTACAACAGCCGAAAAATAATTTGAATTAGTAGCATAATACTGTGTGTGAGAGTGAGAGATTTATTGTTTCGTCAACCAGAGAACAAGCAATGGCACAATAAAATATATACAAAATACACAAGGTAACTTGGTATAGACCGGGATGATCTAAAAACGCAGAAAACTTCACGTTAGCACTAAGCAAATGCCAGAAAGTAGAGGGGTCGTAGAACTGTCAGAACGGACTGTCAGACTACAATATGTAATTGCTATAGTACATTCATTATCATCCCTAATTAATGAGGAACGTAGGGCATAACGTTACCGGTACACCAGTACCTGAGTACAATAATAGGCGTACGAACTAATGTAGTAACAATACCTGCCTGACTCGATAGCGACTACAGTTACCATAAATGCGGTACCGGCAGCGCCGTTGCGATTGTCTACTTTCTGCTGTTCTGTGAAAACGAACCGTCGTGTCAAACAAACTACATAGCCTCGCGTGGAAACGACGTTTTGGGCGAAGCACACGGAAACAGCGGGGCAAAAGTTTGGTAATATTCCGCCTTTTCCTATGCTTCAATGCACACAGACCATGACGCGTGGAAGAATTGTCAATGCAGCCATCTTTTCACATTTAAAACTTTACTTAGTTTTAAAAAAAGTATATTTACTTTATTTATCAATAAGTCGTTTTGAAGTCAGAGCGGCAACAATTATCAGCAGCTTACTTGTTACGTATGCATGCCGAAAGAATTTATATACCAATCATCTCACGTTCAAATCCCATGCCAATCACCTTGCCCAGGGTTTAATGAATTGAGTAGCCAAGGCGAACATGCAAGATTCCGATTCTCTCAATAAATAGCAGCTCCTTACATATCGTTAAACATCAATGACTGCTTGTGTAGGGCCTTGTTCTAAGCCATCGACGTGAATAAGCGTCGTGTGAAAATGTTGAATATGGAATTACTTTCATTGTATATATCAGGTGGATAGAACTTGGTGACGAGAAAATCTGTGACTAACCAGATGATATGTGAACCACCTGGTGACTATAACGAGGCTGGCGATTATCTTATTATATCTCTTACTGGCGTTCAACCTGCGATGCAACGAAGGTCAATCAACATTGGGAGACTAAAAGGATTCATATCGCTTAGCACGATGCATCGATCTTTGTGCCTTATTCTATTCCATTTTAGGAAAAAGATATTTCGTTACATTGCCTTGGGTGAATACATTTCAGATTTTAGACAATAGCCTAACTGGGCTCGATTTTGAAGTCCATGCCGAGTTTATTGAACTCAACTGCATTCTGACTTAGCTTATTCTTTTTCCTATCAGAACGAATTGAAGGATCAATAAAACACACGTGTAATATTTAATCACTGTTCTATCTCTATGTTTATTACTTGAGAGAAAATTAAAGTAATGCAATAATATTCAATGGCCTTTATAGTAAAATTGTTGCATTGTTATAACTCGTCAGATTTCCTAGTTTTTTTAACCACTTTATGTTCATGATAAATATTTTCTTTTATTTCCATTTTATCCAGCATTTCACAATCTTTTGGTATATTTTCGAGTTCTTCTATTGAAATGAATCCTGCAAATACATTGGGTATGTATTAAATTTGTGAGGAGTGACGTAAGGGTTGTCACTGAGGAAGAGACCTACTTTCATTATTTTTCACAATGCACTCATTAAACTGTGTTAGGAATTTACACCAGAGAACATTGGTGTAAAAAAATTTCTCACCATCTTTGTTTAAGTCGAGAACATCAAATGATGACAATAAAATCTCTTTCTCAGTTTCGTTACGTTTTTCCAATTCATCCAACGGATCCATTTTTATTTGCATAAATCTATCCTTGCTGCATTTATCGCTATCTTCTGCAAAATATCCATACAAGTGATTTCTGTAATGTAAAGAACATTAACGGTCAACTTGACTTAATGTAATATTGCATATTTACATGATGTTTTTCTAAAAAAACGGCCCCTGTTAACACCTCATTTTATGTGGATGACTAGTTGATGTCGCATACCGTTTGTTTACAGAAATATTCATTGTTATCCTTCAGAATGGTTACTTACATATTTATAATGAGAGCAAAAGATAAATCTCACCTAAGCTTTGAAATCTTTTCTATGTATCGACGACCTAGTGGCACAGACGACGGTAAATCTTCCATATTATCCGGACAATCGGTTGTACGCGGTCTTTCTACTGGTCCAAACCAAATAGCTACAGCCATGTTTCTTTTATTCCCGTATGACTTTACGTGGTGCGGCCAACTGGTAAAGGCATAGTATAAATTATAATATATGGAATTATACGAAAGAACATATATATAATAAACTGAGTGAAAGAATCCTTTTATTGTTTTCCTTGATTTATTTATATTATAAATTATGCTTACCCCCATGGAACGAACAGACAATCTCCAGGTTCCAAAAATGCATGATGCCAAGGTAATTCTTGTATAATAGGATATTTGAGCATATCTACTTTTCTACAATCCATGGCTCCGTATTGTGGATAGTTTTCCATGCGTGGGATTTTGTCGCGGATTTTCTAAAATAAAATATCATACCAAAAAGTTGAAATATTCGTATAAACCGATCTCTTTATTCATCATACAATCTTATAAAGTTCAGACTTTATTGTTTTTGTTATCATTTCCAAACACCTAACATAGAGATAATTCAAAACATTGTTGTTGGTAACATACACTCAATAATTGCATGTTATCCATCTTACTCTGTCAAAGAGAACCCATTCTTTTTGTCCGTCGAAGAGGCAATGCATGTTTTCAAAGTCGTCCATATGTAAAGCAGATTGTGTGCTTGCAGAAGAGTAAAACAACATAACGCTATCCACGAGTTCAGCATATCCTCCACAGGCCATCGATTTCAGTAGTGAGACTTCATCTGGATAAGAATCAAATGCAATTTACTTCGACTATACTCATAATAGATATTTTGCCGGTATTTATGCGGTTGGAGCAAAGAGACATATTGGGTCAAGTAAATGTTAGAATTCTAAAAACAAACACAATGGTTGAGAAAATAGAAGGTGGAAATGCGGTTTATAATAATATTATTCGTAACATATTATAGCCGAATATTTAGCAAGCTTGCTACTGAAGGGCCAAAGTTCAATAATAAAAGCCTGTCTGTCGGAGGTGAAATTTTGAACTTTATAGGATCGGAATTCCAAACTTCTGAAAGTTGGTAGTAGGAATTTTCAGGAAGCCATATGCAGTCGGGGCAATCTTGACAACATATTAATCCAGATAAACATTAAAATTCTTTAAGTGATCCCAATGATTCAAGAAAATAGAAAATGACGGTATTACAAAGATTATTCGTTGAGGAGTGAGATCGAATAATCAGCCATCTGCATAGGATAGAGTATAGACAAACGTCAAAGAATAACACGGTCAGTGGAGACGGGGTTTGACACTTGTTTCTATCTGGTGCCGCATTTTTTAAACGCATCAAAGTTGAGATTATGTCGAATGATAGATTTGATTACCTCTCATAGGATTATCTTTCACAATATCTGTAATTAAATAGATATTTTTTTCTTTGTAATAATCAATAAATATTCTGAATGGAATTTCAATATCATTTCCAAATACACTTCCTTCATATTTTCCAACTTCTACAGATATGAACCAATCTCCGTACTTTTCTCTAAATAAAATGAAATACTATTGATTGAGGGGTAATTATTAGACATGAACCATTAGACTGGTTCGTTCGTTATAATCTCGTACACTCGTATGAAATGCAACTACTTTATTGCCAGGAATTTAGAATTTATCGGGATAATATTTTATTAAAAACACAAACTGCTATAGATGCAATCTTTAAAAATTATTGAATGTATATTTTGCTTATAAATTGTGCATTGGTTTTGTCACATACCTTAAGTAAGTGTCGTTCTTCCATGTCTTATAGTTTTCGAACACTTTTGCCGCTTCTTTCATAACAACCGGCTTGCCAGGTTTGATATATTTTTGATAAAATTCAACTGGATTTGGTACTGACTCTCTGACTTCTATCTCAATGGGAGGCATGTGAGATCCAAGAGGTTCCATATGGCCAGGTGGGAAATTATCGCCCTCGGGTTTCCCGCATGTTATTAGAAATGAAATGCGTAACAAAATATACACTCCCTGCCAGGTACACATTTTAGATATCTCTGAATGAATGAGTAAAGTCGTTTTGTCTTTCCTGTTTGTTTAAAATATTGGTAATTTTCCGTAGTTTATAGGACTATTTATTCAAGTATTCGCTGATATTAAAGCGATATTATAAATACAATCATGGTATAAAAGCCTAGGATTCTGATCACGGCTAAATAGGGGAGAATTACATAAGGAAAAATATAAACTTTAGACTTAATGTGACCGAACGAGATTCTGGCATTTATTTTTGTTGAATTTCTCCAATCATTTTTTATCCTCACAAGCAGGCTTGGAAAATTTAGTTTGGGTATAAACAAATCTGCATAAAAACTATTTTCACTCCACCTAATTCTATTTATAGATGAGAAATGATTTCCACTCTCGAAGCTTGTTCTACAGTCAAATTACCAGATTATTGATCAAGTGCAATTGTGAAGACAATAACATTGGAAATATATTTGTCGCCAAAATTTTCAGCGAATAATTCATATCAACATTGCATCTATCGTTTTCCTGGATTCCATGTAATTAACATTCTGAAACTTTTAGTCATACATGTACAACAAGCTTTTGTATCGTTCGTTGACAGTGAATTTTCAACATAATATTGCAATATATATATTAGAATTATTCCACATATTTTGAGTAAAATTCCTGCACTCGTGTTCGCTGTATGCTAATCTACATTCTATTAGTGAGCCGTGATGTCACAAGAAAAGTTCATAACGACTTATCTGGCATTACCTCACCCCATATGGATAGGATACGGGAAAATATGCCGGATATTAGTCAACAGCAAGATTAGTTGTCTAAAAGAGGCAATGCTTGGACAACGTAAGGATGCCATGCTGCATGACACGAGGTTGGTTGGTTATTAGCATGTATGGTAAACAAACAAAATTTAAGTGGCGTCTTTAATATATTGTATAAATTCGATGTTATAACAATATAACTGATGCCCAGTAAAACCAATTCAACTGTCGTACTCTCTCGCGTTGTTATACTATTGTTATGAATTTTGATTCTTATATCTAATAATACATGCTTCACTTGATTGTCTTCGTGTTGTTCTGGGTTCTTCCTGACCAATTAGTGAGCGCGTAGAATTACTATCACGCAAATCACCAGTAACCCCTCTTTAACCCGATTCAAAAACGAATTTGGGGCCAAAGATTTTACAGCAGGTATTAGGAAAACGCTTAAATTACATGGCGCAGAATAAAAAGTCGAAACAAACTGTTCCACGCAGATGTAACGAGCCCTTCAGATGTGTGTGTACCAATATTGAGGTAACTAATTTTGTTCACCTATTTTACATTAAGTTGTGTAAAGTGATTGAAACCTATGGGCAAGGGGATATTAACTTGGCCAACACAGACAGTCCCGGAACTCGTAATAGAACTAAAATAAAGAAAATCGGAATAAAATTATGGCCTAACTCTAACCTGGTACATATACTACGGGAATACCGTAACAACAATATAACAAGTGCATTTTTAAACTCAATCTCTTGGTGCATGAGCGCAGTGGGGTGTATATTTTCGAATTTTTTACGTTTATTCAACTTTTAACTAGCGAGTGTCCATTTAGGAATATATATATTAAAAATAGCATAATTGAATATATATTTCAGAAAAAACAACCTCTATTCGATTACTCCATAAATTGGATCGTTGCAAAGTTACGTTTTCCAATCTCCAATTTTGTTGCCTGATGTCTCTGTTTTCTCTATTATGTGAGTTCATGCTTACCTTGTTCTAATACACACATTGAAATGACGTACTTGGATTAGTAGATAATAAACTTTTGATCCTATTTTTTAATAGAAACTGAAAAATAAGCGATTTGTTTGCTATCTGGAGGCAAATATGTGGTTTCGACTGACTAAGACCGATTTCCTGGGAATTTCCTCCAAATCAAAACCTTAACTACAATTTTGATTTTTCGGTTAACGTCACTACTATTGATTATCAGAAATAGGTGAGTTGTGACAGCAAACAAGAGCGAGCTTTATCTTTTATAAAGGTATTCGTGTTCTTATTTTTTAATTTGCAATTACACAGTTGTTTGCTTCAGCTGTTTTTTATTTGAACAGAGAACTTCCTCGTTGCCAAATTTCCGTAGAGTTTTTAAAAAAATTATCATCAGTAATATTAATTATATATTACACATCTGAAGTATGGTTTCATTTTACCCGCTTAGCCCAGTATTCATTCCAATTGTAATATCCCCCTCGTACTTCTCGTACGCTATTCAAATATATCAATATCATTGATTGTACAAAAGTTGTTTATGAGTATCGAATTTCTCTGATGCATTTCCGAATATTTATGGCATTTTGGTTTGAGGATTTGCAACATTCCGCAACAGATTGGTTGTAAATAACCATTAGCGGGCTATTACACTATCTCACTACATGAGATTATAATATCCTTACCAGAATTCTTTAATACAAATTCTGATTCCTTTCATTCAAGTTTATAGGTAAATTACGTTTGATAAAAATAAATTGTCGAGAGAAAGGATTCTACACAATAATAGTAAAAATATGTTTATATATTAAAAACAAATTTTGTGTGTGACTTCAAAATCAATATAAATTATTTGTAGTGGTTCTTCGACCTCTTGTGCTACGCGAAAGTCGCAAACTTTTTCGACGGCACCGGTACCGTAAAAGGTAGGTAGACTACTTCTTCGTTTTGGTCTTCTTGTCTATGTATTTGAGCATCGCTCTATTTTTATCAGGAATTATAGTAAACCTCTAAAGATTAAATTTTCTGACCTCATTTTACATATATTTCCATACGACATTTTATACGTCTTCCTCGGATCTGTAGAGTCAGCCACTGTCAGGTAAGTGGCTACTACTGGGGCCGGAATCTTTCCGGTTCGGAATTGTCCTTATACTTTGAGTGAAGTGCTAAACGTGGGTGGTATTTTCAACATGCAATGGCAGCATTTTCAAGTCCAACGCTACAACCAATATGCAATCGCGTCCATTTTTGGTCATCCCATTGGACAATATTATAGTTCTAGATCATATAATGTTTCTGTGTGATATCTGCTTATACATGTTCAAATTATATTTTCAATAAATATTTCTATTCGCATATTTATATTCCTGGAAGTGTTGACTTTAATTATTTCAAATCAGGTACCTGAAGAAACACATAAAGATTAGGACTTCCAACGATCTTGTGATACACTGTGACGTATAGTGTTTATCAGTTTTTGAAAATTATAGTACCCAATTACGAATGGCTAGTATTTTCATTTTGATATTTTGTTTTACCTATGCATGTACAGATCATGAATCTTCTAAAATCTAACTGTGGACCACACGGGTCTCATGAACCACTGTCCCAACCGAAAGTGATTGCCACTAATATTATACTTTTACGGATACCTTCCCATTTCTAATTAGGTTTACAGAATCAAAAAATAAAGTGATGTAGATTTCATATACAAAGTTTGATTCAATTCTAATTTGAATCTGTTTGTTGTGTGGGTCAAACTTTCGGTCTGTTTTGAGGGGGATCGGTTACTATTTTCTTCAGAAGTCATAGGTTCATCTATGAATAATTTCTCGAATCGCGACAGTATACGCAACGGAAGAGTCTATGGGCTACACCTATGAAAACCTATAGTATATTTCTGGTTCGCATATGAGATAATCCTCACCAAAACTCAACTCATTTCAATACCAATGGCGGCGACTAAATCAATGTAATAAGCTTTTAAAGTAAAATTAAACATTTATTAAATCCTGGTACTTTTTGTTGTTCATCAGGCCATGTAAAAGAAAATTCGTCATTGTATCTATTACTCCTTCATACAAACTGGGTACTTATTGCAATATTTTTTGATGATTTTCTGAAAAAAAATTTACTAATATTAGTTATTTATATTAGTTAAAGCAGTGTTTCCCAACTCGAGTCCGCGGTCTCAAATGAGTCCGCGGAGCGTTTGAATGAGTCCGCAACGAGCCAGAAATTCACTGCGGGCCGCAAACGTTTTTGCGAAACTTAACCATCAGCCACGATTTACGGTTAGAATTAACATAAAACATAAAAAGCAAGTTTATTCATATGACATTAATCGAGTCAATAATTTCTGGATACTGAATGAGTAGGGCTTGGCATATATTCGAATATTCAATTTTTAGAATAGCAATTTATTATTCGAAAGTTTGGTAACAAGTGACGCTACAGGTCACTTGCGCGTCGTTTATTCAAACGATTGGATTTAGTCGTTGTTGTTCGAGGAATAATTTTTCTGGTAGGTGTCAATGGTGGCAACCTAAATTTTCTAAATTGAAAAGCAGCAATACAAAATACTGAAAATAAAACTGAAAACATCATAAGTTTTTTAAAAACGCTTTTTAGACATGTTGCAAATTGCAAAATTTCGGGTGCTAATGCAGTATTCGTATCAGGGCATTTTCCTCAGAATTCTTTGCTTTACTGCAGTGTCCGCAACCTACAGCCAGCGGAGCAATATAATCAGGCCCGCGACGATTCTCTGAATTATAGTGAAAAAACAGCTGTTTTTACGATTATATTCTTTACGTGACAGAATTTATTTTGCGGCACGTTTAGACTAAATTATATCATAACCTAACAAGTATATAATTCACAGTTACACGTTGAATGAGCCTATAATTCAATTATAATTAGGCATTCAATGGCAACAAAACGCAGGAAAGTTGAACGCTAAATGCAATTGGTTCAATATTCAAATGGTCAGTCTTCGGGCGCTGCTTAAAATTTAACTTCTGATCTGTATGAAAAAATGTGATTCATTGGCCATACGCCCGGCTTTTAACTTTCTAAAAATATACGCGGCCCACCAATGACTTGCAACCTTTAATTTTGGCCTGCGTGCGACAAAATGTTGCCGACTCCTGGCTTTACTGTTGTACGAACAGCTCATATTTGTCGAATTCACAAAAATACGAATCGCAGAGTAAAATGATCACAATTAAATTAATATTAAAGCAAGGCGATGAATATTTTTCATTTTTATTTACTAATATATTAATTATATTTTTAATAAGTACTAAATCAAATTGTACTTTCTAGAAATTTATAGCAGATAGTAGGATTTTTCTAACGGCGATAACAAATTCGCAAGATCGCAAATAATTTAAATAAAAACTAAATATATATAACCGGGCAATATATTCTCACATTATTATGTTCGCAGCAGATTGCCGTGGCATTTAAAAGAAGTAATGCTTTCATCTTGTCTTAAGTCAACGCAACCGCGAGTGACCATGAACACAATTAAATTAAATTAGGTAAACATTTTAAATTCATGTCGTTGTGTCAAGGATTGAATATTGTGCGACAGAAAAGGCCATTTATACACTAAAGAAGTCGGCCCTTTCAACGAAGGCGTAGTTGCGTAACAATTCCGATTGTGAAATTCGGAAAAATTCTGTTGTGTTTGGTTTTATTACTTCTTCACACAGAGTACGGTTGCAAAAAACTCACGTTGAGTCCGCAAAGGTTTTCGCCAGTGAGAAAATAGTCCGCGACCAAAAAAAGGTTGGGAAACGCTGAGTTAGGGAGTTATATCAAAACTTTAGGTGTATATGATTATTTGGTATTAATTTCCTATTAAAATATGTTTACATTTAAACAGGTAAGCAATATACAAGACTTCGTTGGCCAGGATACAATATAATGAACATTATCATATCAAACTCGATCAAATGTGACATTGTCATTATCAGCGTGAATTCGGGAAAGTTCCACAACCATAACAATAATTTCAAGTTAATCAATTAAGTGATTCAATTATATCAGATAATTAGTACAATGAGTAAGAACAATATAATCTTCAACGAAAATAAAGTTTGTTTTTATGAACTTACAACAGTTCTTCTTCGCATGCAGATTCCTTTGGCGTTGAAATCTTTTGTTGGCTTTTTGTCACAAATCGGACCCTTGACGCAATCCAAGTCCCATCTCCTGGGGTCACATTTTCCGTAAATGTGCCACGGACCTCCACATTCTTCACCTTCCAGTTTTGCGCATTCATTGCAACACCTAAATTCATAAAAGCGGAACTAGAAACATATTCTATAAACATTGGGTCATTTATAGTCTACTATGGTTTCGACGTGGATATTCACTGCAATAGGTTGGCGTTATCCTTTTCGTTTCTACAATATGAAGAATTTTCTCATTGGAAATGCCTAGAAAGATATCCGTCGTTCCACGCGGTTAGAAAACTCACTCGCATGGGTTGGGAACTTCGGACCTGCCGCGACAGTATAAGTAGGGACATTTCTTTTTATTGCACGTGGGGCAGCTCAATGCGTCACAGGCAACAATAACCATGCAAAACGCAACCAATACGAACAATTTCATTGTTGTTTTCTCGGTTGGATGATATTTTATAATAACTAATATCTGAAAAATAGACATATTTGTACAATAATAAACCCCCTAAAAATCAGGGAAGTATATTTCCAGTATTGTTATTTATAACTAATCCAAAATTTAAACCATACTTTCAATTAATGCAAATATAAATGCTCAATTACAGAACTTAGTTGACTTTTCTAACTACTGTTAAGTAATGCAACTATGTACATTTTTTTGGAAAATGCGTTCAGATATATTTCGAAAATATATATTCAAAGTTTCCTGCTTTTTGAATTTAGCGAGTTGATGTTCCTTCAACATTGTACTAAATCAAAATAAACTGAAGCATTAAAATACCTCTCATTTATATACTGATGCCAAAACGTTTATGTAACCGGTTCGAATGACTACGCATAATTAAATGTCGACAAAAAAATCGTTTGCTCCGGAAGAGTTGTTGGTTATATCACATATACGAAATATATCTGTTTTCCATGACGACAATCCTCTTAAATTTGGCTTTAGAATTGAGATAATTATCATGCTTAAGAAGTAATGAACTTTCATAACGCGATTCAAAATTAAAATTATTTTTCGTAAACAAAGTAATAACCTTGTCTTTAAACGCGCATTCGTTGGCCGTGGATGCAAAGACCATGATTAATCGTTGCTGTGAAAGTCGTGACAAATTTGCAGATTAAGTTATTTAAAGAACGTAAAATATATCACATGAACTGTTATTTTTGCCAAATCATGTTTAACTTCAAAACCTATTTTTAAACTATCCCAGTACATTTAAATTAATACTCCATAGAGTCTATATTGTTGTCATGTATAAACATAAACTGTTATAAGAGAATTGAGGATTATCTCCGATTTCGCTAAATTATTCAAACTTGGATAACATCGAATGTAACTTTGAGATTATTTGATGAGTTTTCGCCTGGTGTTGTGTATAAGGTTCAATAGTGGGAAGCGTTTAATAAATAAATCAATCTTCTTCCAATTGAATCAAAGTTATTCCAGTAATTATACGGTATAACGTAATTTACGCATAGATAGGTATTATATGGACGGGATTCATGATGTTAACAAGTTACATTTTTAATTCCTTCTTACATTATTTGTCAAAATATATTTGAAAATATTTAATCACATGGTTTTGGATATTTTTAGTCATTGGGCTTGAAAAAACGTGATGATTTTGACAAGCCGTTGTACTTAAAATATAAATTGATGTAAATCACGTTGTTTTCTATTCGTGATCATTACTGTCCCAATATTTTTATGGATTCTAACAATTAACCGCTTGCTGTAACCGACAATATTAGCAATGATTTATCGAGATGTGCCGAGTTCAATCTGCGGAACATAATTCAAATATTATATTTGAAGATTGTCGTTTTCAACTTGAAGTGAACTTAAAAACTGTATATACTACGATTACATATATAACAAGGAGTGAGGTTTGGTTCTTTCTTTTGTGAGTTACTTTATCTTGGCTTTTAAACTAGAATCTCTAGTTAGTATTATATGTTCATTTACAGCCACGAGTATATACTGTAAAACAGAACCTTGCTGCAGGTAGCGAAACGGATGCTGTTTATCCTTACTAGGTTGTTTAGTAGGGCGCGCTCCACAAGGAGGTGTGGAGAGGGCGTGAATCTACTTGAAAACAATTTTTTTTGTTAGATTTGATCTTGCCCGCCCTATTTTGGATATTAACATTTCGTTGCTTCTGAGGTATGCGCTCCAAGATGTCGCATAACCTGAACCCTAACCTGGGCTGGTACACAACCTGAGTTCAGGTTGTGCGCCATCATGGTGCGCATACTTCAGAAGCAACGAAATGTTAATATCCAAAAGGAGGTTCAACATTTCTTCAGAGTTCAGAGATTGCGGAGAGCTGTTGTGCTTATATCTTTATCATCCGTAGCGTGGATCATGTTTAAGAGTCATTAACGTTCCATTCACGTATTTTCAAATATATATATTACATGCTATTCTTATGAAATGCTATTTTTGAATAATTTCACTCATTTTTCAAGTTTTTTCAATATTTATTCGCTGATCCACTGTTTTTTGATTTGAACATTTAATCATCTCTTTCGCTTCCATTATCACCAACTTCACCCCTGCTGCACCGCAAACCCAGGACAAATCCACTGATCAATAATATGAAACATGAAGCAGAGCACACTATATTTTATGCGTAGTAGACATAAAAAATCAGATTTATTTATGAGATTATTTGTACGTGACATTTGACTGCAGCCTATACATATGCCAAACTCCACACTGGCGTTACAATATGAAATCAGGTCACGTGAAAACTGATTTTGCCTGCACCTTTTCTGATTGCTAATTGTAACAGTATAAAACTTTAATTAAACATCATAGGATTTTTTTTTACATAAATTCGGTTTTATAGGCAGCTTCCAATCGATTTGCGTATGGAGTCGAAAAATCCGGAGTCGAACCGAAATAACCGGTTAAATTGAGTTGTCGGATTCAACAGCGAACGAAAGGTGCAAAATTCAGTAGGCAAATCTGGGAATCTATTAACATTTACTTTTAAGCGCCACCTGTGGCCCTTGTCTTGTCGCATTAATTAGCTTCGACGTGAGCTGCCAAGCGTGACGTTGTTAATCAAGTAGGATTTCAATACCTTCGCTCTCGTCAGTAATGGTAGCGCAGGGGAAGCGTAGAGACATGGTCAAACAACAGGTTAGTTATGAGCCTAGGTTCGAACCCCAGATGGTAGATCGAGCTGCAGGTAGAGGTCAGTAAACGAGAAGCAGGAGAGCGAGTCAGAGCAGCAAACAGCCGAGGCGGGTAGAAATATAAACCAGAGGGGACAGCAATAGGCAGACCAGGCGTGCAAATACGAGCCAGAGCAGCAGACAGAGTCAAAGGAGTGGGAGTCAGCAATAGGCAGACCGTGCGCCAAGGAGACCGGCGCGCAGGTTAGCGAGCGCCAGCAGAGGTTAGCGCAAATATACCAGAGGGCAAGCAATAGGCAGACCAGACGGGACGCCAAGAAGGCAGCCGTGCAGGTGAGCGGCCAGACGCGCAATTACAGCCAAGGCAAACCGGAGGGAGGGGCAGACCAGACGCCAAGGCCTGCGAGCGCCAAGGAGACCGGTCAGCTTCGTTCGGGTTTCGTCAGTAATGGTGGCGCAGATGAGGGTGTGCTCAGTTGGGTAAATCGAGCTGTAAGTGGAGGTCAGCAGACGAGGAAGCAGGCGAGAGAGCCAGAGCAGCAAACAACCAAGGTGAGTGGAAAATATAGACCAGAGGCGACAGGCAGCAGACCGCACGCCAAGGAGACCGGCGTGCAGGCGCGAGCGCCAGCAGAAATATACCAGCAAATAGGCGCACCAGACGCGCAAAACAACCAAGGCAAAACCGGAGTTGGGCAGCATTAGGCAGATTAGTGAAAATATACCAGAAGGCAGGGCAGAAATATACCAGCAAATAGGCGCACCAGACGAGGCAGCCGTGCAGGTTGAGCGACCAGACGCGCAAAACAACCAAGGCAAACCGGAGTTGGGCAGCATTAGGCAGACCCCAAGACCTGCGAGCCCCCCACCGGGGCGTCAAGGAGACCGGCGTTCCTGATAAACGGCAGAGAGAGCGCGGCGCAAAACAGCCAAGCAAACCTGAGGGGGGCCAAGACCTGCGAGCCCCCCCCCCCCCCCCCTCACCGGGCGTCAAGGAGACCGGCGTTCCTGATAAACGGCAGGGAGAGCGCGGCGCAAAACAGCCAAGAGGGAGGAGCGCGGCGCAAAACAGCCAAGCAAACCTGAGGGGGGCAGACTCCAAGACGCCTGCGAGCGCCCATCGAGCGTCAAGGAGACGTGACCTGAACGAGCGCCAACGGAAATAATATACCAGAGGGCAGAAGCGATACGGCCTGACAAATAGCGGGCATCCAGCGGCAAACGTTGGCAGACGGGGTTAGTGGAAATATATACCAGAGGCCAGAGCGGCAGACGTGCAGCAGCAGACCAAACGTACAGGCAAGGCAGGGCAGAAAAAATATACCCAGTAAATAGGCACACCAGACGGGGACGCCAAGGAAGAGGCGCAGCCAGAAGCGATACGGGCATCCAGCGGCAAACGTGCAGCAGCAGACCAAACGTACAGGCAAGGCAGGCCCAAAAGACCAAAAGGCAGGTCAGAAATATACCAGCAAATAGGCACACCAGACGGGGACGCCAAGGAGCGGAGCAGCCGTGCAGGCTGAGCGACCAGACGCGACCTGCAAGCTGCGTCAAGGAGACCGGCGTTCCTGATAAAAATGCCAGGGAGAGCGTGCTACCAGACGCGCAAAACAGCCAAAAACCTGAGGGGGGCAGCATTAGGCCAGACCCAAAACGCCTGCGAGCGTCAAGGAGACGTGACCCCGAACGATAGCGCCAGCAGAGAGAGAGGGCAGAAGCGATACGGCCTGATAAAAATAGCGGGCATCCAGCGGCAAACGTGGAGAAAACCTGCAAGCCCCCCCCACCAGGCGTCAAGGAGACCGGCGTTCCTGATAAAAATGCAGGGAGAGCGCGCAAACCTGAGGGGGCAGCATTAGGCAGACCCAAGACGCGCCTGCGAGCGTCAGGGAGACGTGACCCCGAACGATAGCGCCAGCAGAGAGAGAGAGGGCAGAAGCGATACGGCCTGATAAAAATAGCGGGCATCCAGCGGCAAACGTGGAGAAGTAGCAGACCGTGGTGTTAGTGGAAATATATATATATATATATATACCAGAGGACTAGTGGAAATATATATTAACCAGAGGACAGAAGCGATACGCCTGATAAAAACAGCGGGCATCCAGCGGCAAACGTGGGGAAGTAGCAGACCATATATATATATATACCAGAGGACTAGTGGAAATATATATTAACCAGAGGACAGAAGCGATACGCCTGATAAAAACAGCGGGCATTCAGCGGCAAACGTGGGGAAGTAGGGAAGTTAGTGGAAATATATATACCAGAGGACAGAAGCGATACGGCCTGATAAATAGCGGGCATCGAGCGGCAGACGTGCAGCAGCAGACCAAACGTGCGGCGTGCAGGCGAGCTCAGAGCAGCGAACAAAAAAAATAAAAACTCCCGCAAATGGAGGAAGAAGGAAGCGGACATCAGCGGCAAACGTGGAGAGTAGCAGCAGCAGACCGGTTAGTGGAAAATACATACCATACGGCCTTGATAAATAGCGGTCAGAGCAGCGAACAAAAAAAATAAAAACTCCCGCAAATGGAGGAAGAAGGAAGGGTCGGCAACTAAAGTGAAAAATAACCAATAAAAAAAATAACATCCGAGGCCCCAAAGAAAATTAGGATTGAAAACGAAAATTAAAAAATTCATTAGAGATCTTGTCCTAGGAAAAGCAGACAAGTAAAGTTGGAAACCAGCGGTAGGCAGAGCAACAAAAAAAACGCAAATGGAGAAAGAAAACGAAAGTACAAACTGGTTATAAAATAAGAAAATGTGGAAGGTAACGGTGAGCAAGATATAATATATATAGTATCATCTGTGTGGGCGGCAACTCATGCGAAAAATAAATGACGAATGATAAAAATGCAATCGAGGGAGAGAATATAATAAAGCGAGGCTCCAGAGAAAATTAAGATTGGAAATGTTGTAAAAATGAGTATAGATAAAAAAAATCATTCTCGCCAAAGAGAAAAGAAGTCAACCCAGCAATAAACACTGATTCAACTACTACGTAATTACAAAAATTCACCCTAATAAAGGATATCAAATTCAAATATTATTGAAATTTATTTTATATATATTTATGCTATATTATAGAGAAATAAGTGCATATAAAAAAATTAAGACACACAAATATGCAAATGTATGTGGATTGGCGACCCAGTAGTTATGGCGGAAAACATTGCTGGGAGTTTCGGCATTCCCTGTTTCTGCTGTCACCTGTAAATATGAGATAGGGATATTGATCTTTTACATTTTTGTAGTATTTTATAAAATATTGTATCCCATGCGAGTCGAATGATGATTTTATCTTTTTAAATATGTTTTAATATTCTAGAAAAGCACCTATCGACTTCGTAATGGAATTTCCACGATACTAATTTGTAACCATCAGTTTGAACTACGTTGGGTACTAGGATATTATGTTAAACTGCAGATCCTTTCTCCTTGTCTACTTCGTATGCGCATAACCAAAATTAGACAGACTAAATCCTTCCATCTTCATATTTTTATTACATTCTCATTACTTGACTCAGCAATTATTATAAACTTCATCTTCTCAGTTATATATTATTTTTTCTCGCGAAGTTAGACTATGCCTAACGAAAGCTCACAAAAACACTTCCTATTTCGCAAATAAATTATGTTATTCTTAGATTCTTAAAATTCTAGATAACACAAATGTCGTTATATTTAGATAAAATTGAGTAGAAATTTTACCATAGCGAAATGGACTATGATACTTACCAATATCGGTTTGATGATGTTTTACAGTATTCCCTGAATTAGATCGTTCAAGCTAAAAATAAGCGGAATAGATTTTAGAATATTCGTGATTCTAACTGTGTCAAACATGAAATGTGCGAGTGATTGCTTTACCAAATAATATTCTTCAAATCTGTTCGAAAAGGTGCTTAGATGGCAATAATAAAACCATAATAAAGTTTGGTCAAAAAAGTTATCAAAACACTAAACTCAAAAATAGAATAAGACATTTTTCATACAAACTTAACATAGAAATATTGATCCAAAGTTTAAACTTGAAATGGAGAAAAAAGTATAAAACCTAGTATAAATAAATACCAGACCTTCATTTTAAATATTCTGATGTCTTCATCCATCTGCCGAACTCTTTCTTCGAGTTCCTAAAAGGATGGGAGTCATTTTTCATTTTCACAGGGATTTAGAGCCGGAGAGAATTCAAATCGACTCCGCCTGACGCATCCGGACTCGGACCATATTTCAGGACGACTACGATTCGATTCCCGACTCCCACTCCAGCTATGAAATCCGGAATAATCGAATTTTTGTAACAAAAACTTCGACTCTGGGGAATTTAGAAAATGCAAATCCTGCTCCCACTCCAGTGAAAACATGCAATTTTCTATATCAGCTTGTAAAAACTTTTCGAATATTTTTTTTCAAATTTTGAAATAATTTTCTTTAATGTTTCTGTTATTACTTTACCTCTCTCCGCCTCCTGATTGTCTCCATCCTTTTTTTATTCTTTTCCTTGAATCTTACAAATCCACTTAAAAAAGAGAAGTACTTTAAATTCGTTACCCAAAATTTCAATCATATTAATAAATGAAAAAATAGATATTATACTCACAGACGTGGCCGGACGTCGTTTTCTCCAGGAAAGCACTTGAAATAAGAAATGAAACGGATTAAAAATAGGAATTATCATAAAAATCCCCTTTTTCGCTCAAATTTTACTCATTAATTATTGTTGAATATTAAAGAAATAAAATGTAATTTTTTTTTATCACAATACATCCGATGAATATACTTACTTTTGATTCACGTTTAACTTCGTTTGAAGCAGATCTCACATTTGTAGGACTGCTATGAATCGCCGATTTATTAACCTCGCAGTTAACAAAACACGGTGTCTAAAAATGAAATCCATGAGTGTCTATTACAATATTAGAGCATAGTAAATAAGCAGTGCAGAGCATAGTAAAAAGCAGCCAAAATTGATGAATGATTAGAGTATGTGTGTTAGAATAAATATAACTGACCTTCGGATTAGTGAATCGATGGCTTCTGTCCTGCGCCATTTCATGTCGTTCCTAAAAGTCGATCACATTTTGATCAGTTTTTGTTTTGATATGAACAATTGGTTTATTGTTTGCCTTAATTAATTAATTATACTTTGAATATTTGTATATGAACTTTCTAATCGTTTTTATTTTCGAGTAAAATATTTGTCAGCCATGATCGTCGATATATCACCTGAATCTGTCGTTTGATTTTTATTTTCGTTCTCTCGTTCTGTTGTTTAAGTTTTGCAATTTCCCTGAAATAAAACAGAAACGTGAATAATATATTGGATTTTTAACATATATATTTTATTCAAATGAAAAAAGATACATACATAGTTTGATGGAATCTGTTCTCCTGATAATTCTTAAAATACAGAAAACAAAAAAATATATAGTTTTTAGTTGACACAGAAATTTGCGAATTACGAATAATAAAATCAACCTACCCTTGACTGAACTAACGTTTCATCTCTTTTGCAACCCAATGTTTTAAGAGCTGTCAAATCGCTAGATGAAACAATTTCTTTTTTCGGCTGAATATTTAAAAAAATAAGCATTCAAAAAGTTAGTCTTAGCGGTAGTATATATACGTGCACGCTTAGCATGGGGACTCACTAAGATGAAGGTACAAAAAAGGGGTTTGGATACGCGTTATACCAATTAACCAAATACAAAAATAAAGAAACCATGTCTGAACTTTATGTTAATTTGCATTTCCCCTATCTGGAAGTGTTTTATCTTAATTACTGTCAGTCAATACTATATTTATTTTTAGTTACCGAACTTACTTTTGATTCGTCATTTGCCAATTTGGCCGACCTCATATGGCCAATAGGAATGGCCGAAATCAGTTTTCCTGCTTTAAGAGACATCGGAGATGCCTGTTTAAATAAAAACAGGTGAAGATGGATACCATTTGGTAAAAATGCTTCACACACCTATTCGATATTTTTAAAGGCAAGCGTTAATTTTACTCTCCAAGAACTAAAAACTCTTCACATTGTGTTGTGTGCTGTGGACACGAACCAGTTAAAAAATCAATATACATATTTATAGCGACCTATTCCGCATTTCTAAGCAGGCTGAAATAAACATATTCTTGATTATAAAAATACGTCTGTTGAAAGTTACCTCAAAAGTAAAACGAACAATACTTTGAACAATCTCCACACAACGACCTGGGTTTACTTTGACGTTGGAAGCCCATAACAAGGAACTTTGTTCCCACGCCATTCGAGTTCTGCGAAAAATTAATCTCGTTTTAAAGTATAAATTGCAAGAACAATGCCAAGTTAATAATATAATTCATGAACTTACTGTTGCAAATAGTTCTGAGTGTCTTCCTCATGGAGATCACTCCTGTGAAATTCCCATTTCTAGATATATAAACAGAATATTTTTTATGGCTAATTGTATAAATTGCTCAGGTATGAATTTCAAAGTTTATGTCTATTGATAAAAAATATTTTAAATATAAAGCGCTTACCTCAGTGGATCAAATTGTTGCATCGGATTACAATTCTGAAAATATAATAAAATATTAACAACTACATGGAATACTACTAATAGTGACACAAATTTTTGTTTTCAGAAACCAATATACTTACTGTTGATTGAAATTTCGAGACTCTTGTGGAAAATGATTCGATGCATTTTTTATTAGTGGTATTGACAACGTTGACTGATGACATTAGCCCATTTACTCTTGTAACATGACGTGTCTGTCGATATACCGAATAAGGATTAATTTATACGAAAAGATACTCAATTTGATGCCTTGACATGCATCTTGTCTTAACAGGATGAGTTTCAATTTGTATCAGCAGATTACATATAATATGAACCGTCAAACGTGTGAATACTCTGAATATTTCGAAAGAGTAAATGGACACATTACCCTCCTGGAAGAAAGAACTAGTCCTCGTAGAAGTAGCGCAGTGTAATTGGATCTCAAATCCGATGCCCAAAGCAGCTTTGTCTCCCAAACTCTTTGAGTTCTGTAAAAATAGCGTTTTGTGAAAAGTGAATCGTGGCAACGGCAAATTAATAAAACAGGTAAAAACTTACTCTTGTAAACGATTCCCCAGGTATATTCGCAAAGGCTTCGGGGGATTTCTCCTCCCAAAAGTTCCATTTCTAAAAATGCATATGCCAATTACAATTTGTAAATATGCATACTATTTAAAGCCATCCACGTTACGCGAATGAGTTGAAAATGCCTTCGGCTACTAGTTGATGATGAAATATTATATTACCTTTTTTTAGCAAACTGTTTTTTTTTAAATATTTTTAAATGTATGCAATTGATAGTAGGAATGAAATTCACTAAAGAAATGCCATTTACAAGCCCGCTAAAATAGGAAAATTTCAATTTTTCTGTAAAGCAAATTCAGACTGATTCTATAAAGTATAAACCAACTCAAATTGAATGACAAATCAGAAACAGCGTCTTCTGAAGAAATGGTAAAAGACAAAAATATTCAAATCGAACTGATACTAATAGAATAAAATAAATGAAAAATCGGCAAAGATGAATATGTTACTCGCAGTCAGCTTCTATCTCTTAATGTTATGAATTGTTTATGATGTGTGATATCATTACATTGTGGTTAGGTTTTGTTCGTTATGAACGAAACGCAGTTCCTGACGATGAAAAATGTTCACACTTTTTCTTTTCAATTTATTTGTTGTTGTTAATACAAGATTCATCATCTTTTTGCAGCCATCGTTACCAATGTTCATTCCATTTAATGCATGTCAATTGATTCATAAAGTTCTTCGTCCACAGACAATAATATTTTTTTTCCGAGTAAAGTTAATCTTAATATGATGGGACTGTGTGCCGGAATATTGGAAATGTCATGCGGAACATAAGGAAAATGGGAGAAGATAAATAAATACAATTATTTTCACATTGACTTATATTTGATTTCATATATTGGATAACAGATCATTAAATGTTGCGAGTGCAAAAATACCACTTTCTGATCGATTAGTGTTATTGGGAAAAAGCGTTTCGAGATTTTCATGTCGGTACTCCCGAAGTATGTGAACCAAGATGGCGAATACCGGAACGTAGTATGTGTACCAGGTTAGGGTTAAGCCATACTTTCAGGTACAAATACTACGGGAGTCATCTTGGTTCACATACCTCGGGTGTACCTTTATGCCAATAAGCTGATGGTAACTCATATATCCTAATTTCGGATGTATCATTGAAAAGTACTACTTCACTTCAAGATTCCTAGCAGGACAAGATTGATAAAAGTAGGCGGTGTTATCAACGACAAAATTATTTCATCAAAAAATATGTTTGTAATATCAACAACCGTTTTAATTCTGAGTTTAACTATAAAAAAACAAGTAGTATTCACTTATTCGAATTAAATTAATATTGTTACTCACAACGAAAGCTGCTGCTTTTTAAAAGCGATTCGACCTGTTTCCCGCTTCTCTGCATCTAGCGATTCCCTCGTTGGTTCAGTCGATTGAAATATCTCTCCATTTGTTTTTCTCCGCCTTAACCAACGCCGCCTTTGCGTTTTCGTCATTTTTTTCTTTTTATTAATCGTTTCATCATTATCTCCATTTGTGCATTTACAGCACGCTATCCCCATATTGAAATTGGCTAGCAAGAATGGGATGTAACGTAATTGATTGTATTATTCCAAGGCTATAAAATATAACATATTGATTAAGTCTGATTACTATAAAAACTTGGATTTGACAGAACTCGGAAAATTAAAATCGGATTAGACAATAAGTGTTCGATTTTGCATCGGTATTCGATCCGTCAGATTGAGTCATTAAATATAACGTTACCATGAAGTAATATTGCATCGGCACATATAGCCCAACATTATTATCATTTCTCACCAGGAAAGTGTTACATAACAAGCCACGCAGAAAGATCTATCGAAAACATCGTACGATTGAAACTTAAACCCCCTCGACCGAACGAGTAAAACCGAGACAGAACAGACTACAAGACTAATTGCAAAAGTACAGAGGTACATGATTGGTTGTCTCTGGTTCTCATGGATACCAAGGTTGCCAAGGGCATTGTTGAACCATTGTTATGTAATCGGTAGTTGCCATGTTACAAAAGGTCATGGTCAGTGATCCAAACAGAAATATTGTCATGATAAATGAATCCATTCGGAAATTATCAGAAACATTCATTTAACGGACCCTTAATAAATATCTCTAGTAATTATTCTCCGTTGATCAAATAAGATGCAAAGGCAAGTGAGAAAGTTGATAAAATATATCTACACCGCGGGAGGTATGATTATTCAGTAATGATTTTAACCACTCGAAACAAACTGGAAATCTCAATAAATATCTCGGGAATCTCCATGTTTAACTGCCTTATGATTGGAAAACGACTTTTTGTCATTCTCTATAAAATTTCAATACGCACACAAATTTGCAAACGCCAGCAGATAGTATGAATTTACATTGTACTGACAGTCGAGTATGAACCCCTTGGTCTTGAGTTGCGAAATAGACTCCAAAACTCGTTTTTTCGACTAAACCCGTGGCGGAGAACCTATACAAGGGTCGTCCAACACCTGGCCCGCGGAGCCACATGTGGCCCACTGAAGGGTTCCAAGTGGCCGCGCGGCATTTTCCAGAATTTGGTATACTAAACTTATCTCGATGTCTCCCACAAACCTAAGAAAATATTGACACATGCCATAAAAACATTATTCCTTGTTTAAACGGTCGAGAAATGCCACTTTTTAAATCTCTCTTTGCGGACGTGATTGTCGGAGAGAGATATCTGGACTTCCTTTTTATCATAGTCAGTTTTGAAATGACAATTTTCGAGACATCGCTTTCAATTAGTGATACGAACGATTTGCCTATTCCAGTGTGTTGTATTGAATGTATTCAACCGTCAATTTCCAACGAGCCGTGAATGACAATTGGGATTTCAGATACAGATATTTTATGTAGACTAGAAAGATATGTTTCGTGATTTTGCTGTGTTCGTTCCGGCCATCTTTATCTAAATGTCGGTTCTCCATATCACGCAGATATCACGTCTTGCGCTCTGGTGGACTTGGATGTTTAGGTTTTTCATATCTTGCGGAACTGCGCGTTTTGTTTGACAAACTCGAAAGCTATTGTCGAAATTAATTTCATTCTTATTACATATTATTCGTGTCGATTTTGATATTCCTTATCGCCGCCGTAAAAAAAGTGAACAATATATTTGCTACTGGGTCCGGCATTCGTTTTTTTTCTTCTGTTTGTATTTTTCTATTGTGGTCATGCTAATTTTGCGTTAAATAAAAATTCTGAAATTTAGTTACTGCGAATCCGTTTAAAATTGTGATAATATTGACTTGATGTCATTCCTACATATTCAATATATTCGTTCGGAAATCCTAAAAACGTTGCTTTGTTAGGTACTTGTATTGGTCATTCGAATTTTACAAAACGACGTAAAACAGAACTTGGCTGGTATTTAAGTTTGGTAAAAACGATTGTGGCCCGCAATGAATTCTTTATGTGAAAGTGGCCCGCGACACTAAAAGGGTTGGGCAGGCCGGCCCTATACTATAGCTTAATTGACTTCTCACTAACAGCCTAACTTTGAGCTTCTATTTCTGAGGGCGTTTTACAACTGGCACATACCCAAAACAAGTTTCCATATTTTTAATCTTTTGAAATGTGCTTGAATGAATCTCCCCATCCGAGTTTTTTTCGCTTTTTCATATCTGCTTCACCCATTTCAAGAATCGCTACTCCACAACACGTCAACCGCACCTCTAGTAGAGCAATAACCACCACAATAATTTCAAAATATACATTCAAATATTTCTAAATGTCTGTAGAATAGAATTTTTGCTACACTATTTTGAGAAGACCAGATAAAATATTTGAAAATGTTTTAATGAACACATTCCGAAGGCCGTGTTAAATTTATTGAATAAACTAGAAACAGAAGATATATCAAGTTTCCGAAAATTTTGAGTTTACAATAACGCAACGCGTTTTTACACAACGTCCATAGTATATATACAATGTAAGGGTCTCGGACTCTTATGATTGTGTCGCGTGATCCGCTAGAGTTGAGAGATCAGCTTTTTTTTCAATCTTTTTATAGGATATCATAATATTTAATGGAAGGAAGCAGAATGACAGTTAGCAGACAAAGTTGTGTGGTACCTGCTCCAACGAAATCCCAAAGTTATCAAATGTTTTGTATTCAACATTAATTGATTCAAGTGAGTTGTATTCCTCCGTATCATGTTCTTTTCTGCATAAATGTTCATATTTCGAATGGCAGCTCATACGTTTAGACTGATTTGACAGTTTATGTGTCTCGTTTGGAATGTTTGTATGGATTGTTGATACTGTTTCACATTCTATGTCCGTGACAGCAACTGCGTTCATAGATTCCACTTTGAAACTTTCAGTTTTCTGTGACATACTCAAATAAGTTGCAGATCTCATCGGCCATTTCTGAAGAAATCATTTTGAATTATATTTAATCACATAAAGATAACAAATGGACATCAAGGAAATATAAGTAGGAACTCTACCAACATAATATAGTCATACCACGCATAAACCATCACTGTTCCAGTTCTGAAAACCGTAAAAAATATAAAAATAAAAATGAATAAAATGTCCAAACGG